CTTTTTACTGTTGGGTATTTGTCAAATTGTTATGATAAAATAATGGTTAAAAAATTAAAGAAAACAAATTGTTTCTTGTAAAAAGTAGTTTCAGAGCACTTATCATTTTTAAACTCCGGTCATACGGTACCTTTGAAACACAACAAAATCTTACATCAATACATCTATCAAACTTAAATTATAAATTATAAATAGCAAAAAACGTCATTTTTATTCCAAGACCCTATTCGAAACATCCAACAACCCGTTTTTAAAACTCAGAAATTTAGAGATTTTGTCTTAAGAAATTAAGTTTAAAACTACGCTTAATGAATTGTGATGGCAGAGATTAAAAATAACTAAAACATTCACGCAACACCTGTTTTGACTTTGAAATATTACACATCGCTGCGGGTCCTTTTAAATGGGCTAAATCCATACCCGGTCAGGTAGCAAATTGGCTAAATCCATGGTTGGTCAGCTAGCAAATGAGCTAAATCCACTTTTTCAAACTTTTCAGCAGGAAGAAAACACTGAATTAAATCAGAACCCTTGTGCGCGGTTGTAGCAATCATTTATATTATGTTTAAGGACATCATAAATAATATTTTTGCAACATTAAATTGATTTCAAACTAATAATTTGTTTAATGGGAACCTAAAATGGGGTTGACAAAGCCCAATAAAATTATTGATTTAAATATAAAATGTTGCTTTTACTGTTGCAGGCAACAAATATACAAATTTACAATGAATGTTTTAAGAAAAAATAAATTTTAACATTATTTTGGGTATCATCTTGTCCAATCTTGTCGATTTACTTCAATTTGTATATCTATAATAAATGAACTCATATCGCTCATTATTATGATTTTAATTATAATATCGGTGAATATAATAAATTTAATTTAATTAATTTTAACATTTCTTAACTTTCATTTACGTCTCATGAATATTAAAAATCTTTAATTATTATTTTTACTAAAAATCAGTGATATACAAGGTCCCGCTTGAAAATTATTGCTCATTATTGCCCGCTGTATCTTTTTTTTGGCAAAATTCTCTTCACTTTTATTTCCAATAGGTGTGCACTAGGTATACCTCCTGTCTTTATTTATAGGATAATTTTTAACTGTCCTGTGTACTTTTCATCTAAAATTAAGCAGATAATTTTTTTCTCAAAACTTATTTGACCTGCCACCCAACCTGAAAGACTGTTCTGCACAACAATTCCCTTCCTTGTGCAAAAACTTTGTGTGGCAGCAGCAATTTTAGTGATTCTCTTTATTTGTGATAATTAATTAGCTCGCGGCCCATCTCGGCGCGGACCTCTCTTGAGGCTTCGCGTTTTAGCGACGTGTTCGCCAGAGGTGCTGCCGTTTCTTCACATTTTTTTTTTGATTTCATGTATGACTACTTGTGAAGAATAAACAATGATAATAATAATATTAAATTCAAAATTATTGTTCATTGCTAGAACTTAGAAATTGTTGTAGCTAATTAATTAGAAGATTTTTCAAACTTAAAAAAATCCAAAAATAGTTATAATGACAATATAGATTATAAATTTGTATATTAAAATCTTGTGCAGTAAAATCTATTATTTAATAAATCTTTTTTTTTCATTTAAAATTGAGAATTTTTTAAATGGAATTTAAATAAAATAAATGGATAAAATTTTTAAAAATAATTTCATAGTATTTTTAAAAATAGTTTTTAACGGTTATTAATAATATATTATTTAACATTAATTTCATGGTGATGTAATCAGATGTAATGATGTTTTATTATTTTATTAATTTTTATTAATACTTAAACACAAAAAGAACAACAAATATTTTAACGAGCTTCGTCGAAAAAACCTGCTTAGTTTGCTTCGAGTAGTACGAGTGATTAAAACAGAGAAAGAGATCAAACAAAGAAAACAAATTTTCGGCGGAATTTTAATTATTTGTGGATTTTAGCATGTATCTAAAATTAAATTTACTGCTTTAAAATATCTAATTTCATTTTTATTCAATTGAGCAGTCTTTTTTAACAATGATAATTCATTTTCAACAGGTCTGTAATTTATTATTGGTTGATCGATTTTTGTGTGTATTTGTTATACTATTATTCCATTATTGATAATTTTCAAGTTCTTCTGTGCTACTTCAGATATAGAATAGTATTTTTTAACAAATAAATAGTGGTGCAAAGCAAATCAGCATGCAGCTTGTTGAAAAGAATGCCACTTAATATTGGAGTAATTTAGTTTAATTATGTAATTACTGGTTATTACTTGATCGTGCCGCTATTCATTTCTTGATAAGTTGGTATTAAATCTTTAAATAAGCTTTCAAACGATGCCAAGATTATTAAATTTGAATAAACAGAACCAGAAATACCAAAAGTCATAATATTACGCATCAAAAATCGACGGTGTACGGCATGGCTGCATAACCACTGCACATCATCAGGCACATTTCCCACCCATATTGCCATATGAACTTGGCCATCTAATGATATTTAGTGAACCATAAGGTGAAAATGAACCAATTACAAAAGCAAACGCGTTTTTGGTCAAATGTGGATTTAGCCAATTTGCTTTATAGCTCTTTTTGGATTTAGCCGAATTGCTACCAGACCAGATATGGATTTAGCCCATTTAAAAGGACCCGCAGCGACATGCAACTCAATGAAAGGATTTTAATTGCTAATGCAGGGCTATTGTAATATGTTATTCACACAGATAGATGGAGATGATAAAAGTTTTTCCTTTGTTGCATTCAATAATTCCTCATTTAAATAATGAGAATAAGATCACAGATTAATTATTATTATTGATGAATTTAATTTTAAGTGTGGAAGATTAAATTTATATAAATTAATTTGAAATTTAATAAATCTGTCAATTTTCATTAAACTAAATTAATAAAAACTTATAACTATGGAAAATTATTCACTTAAAAAAACTAAATGTAAAATCCTGAAGATGTGGTTGCTTTATGAAGTTATTTTATAATATTTTAACTTACATTAATATTAAAAAAATGTGCGGCATTGAAAATTTGAATGTAACCAATAATTCAAAATCAACTTTAATTTATTTACATCATAAAAGCCACGTCTGCAAAGCTTGAATTAGAACAGAAGCTGCGCCTCCGTTGTGATGAGAAACACAGCTCCTTATATGAATCCACTCTCAAGGCCTACGACTGCGGCCTAATCTATCCTAGGCAGAGATGAATTCGGCTTGATGAATTCACTTGATATACCGCAACGACGAGCGTTGGGCGCCTAATTCGGGATTAAAACCTTAATAACAATACACATGCGCGCCGGCGGTGGAAGGAATACATTACGCCGAGGGGCGGATTGAATGACACCAAGTAAAATAGGATTATCTAAAATAATTTTCCCGGGCGCTGTGTGTGACACGTTAGCCCCCGGGAGAGCGACCGACTTCTCTGGAGCCCGTCGTACTTTGCATGCGCGGCCCGCAAAAAAGCGGCAGCCGAGCGAAAAAAGAATGGGGAGAAAGAGAGAGAGAGAGACTGTCAAAATATCATTTCATCATGGTGCCGCGTCGACGACGTATCATACATGCAAATTATTCCTATATACATTTATATCTAACTTTTGTACTGCGGTCGCGTGCAAAATCAAGCGTGTGTCCCCGATCTTTAGTTTTTTTTTTTATTCTGAGGCGAAATAGGTCAATATGCACATTACGTGATATCATAGATGAAAGGTTGGCTTGTGCGTTTTATATTTTTATTTTATTTTAGGAGGAGTATAAAATATTTCAAATTTGTAGTCAACATCTAAAAAAAATATCCGCTCTTTTTGTTCGTAATTGTGACAAATTTTGGCCAATTTCCCCAATGAAAATTTAATGACCAGTTTATATCAAATTGTTGTCAAATTATTTGGCGTTTTTGGCGGAAAAATCAATAATTTGATCACTAAAATTACTTGATTCAAAAGTTGATTATTATAGAGAACCCCGGAATAAACAATAAACAACAATAATATATCGTTTCCAAGTGACCTAGTGAGATAATTAAAAACAGATTATTAACATGACAAGCCTGTAGTGATAAGATCATTAAATTGCTTATATTTGTGTCTTCTCTCTAGGAAAGATATTGAATATTTTTCCTTATTTTTTATACTAAATGATGAGAAGAACACGTTGCAGGGTGGATTAAAGTATAATGATGAGTTTGCTCGTATCGTTCGCACTAGATGCTTGCTCGTTATTTTATGTACTCCTAGAGTAATAATTGGATTTCTTGACTGAGCAAGAATAATGAACAAGGGGACAACATCAGTATGGGTTGAAGAAATATGCTTCTATTTAATGAGAAAAAAAGTTAGTATTTTCCATTGATTATAATTTTTTCATGTTGTTTATTTGTCCCACTGGTAACATTTATTTTGCAAAGTGTTGCAAAGATGGAGAGATAAGTGGAAATAAAAATTTATCGAGAGGGATAAAAATAGTCAAAATTGAGAAATATTTTCAAAGTTGAAATGACAGAGTATGAAAAAAAATTATGAAAGGAAAGAAATAGATGGTATGAAAATATATTGAAGAAGAATGTGCTGATTAAGGTTTTATTCCAAATTAAAATATATAAGTTGAGGTTTTTGATGAGGACAAATTCTAGTTGTCTATACATTAACTTTTCCTTGAGTGCCCAAGTTTCTCAATTTTGTAACAAAATTTTTGTTTCTTAATGTAGCTCATTTCTTCTCCCTCTATCAATTAAGTTGCCCATATAGTTGCAAAGTGTCTATATTGATTTATCCTTAGGAAACTACTGCCCAAATAGATCATACTTAAAATCAACTTTCAACTTTCAGTCTAAAGGTTTACGATATTGATTCGTGAAAACTCTGGTTTTACTTGATTTTAAAATGGAAAATTTTGATTTTTATATTTCATACACAACTTTCGTGTTGATGATGATAAATCACGATGTAACTGCCAGTTTTGCGCTTAACCACACTCAAAATAACGTCTCTTTGTTCCAGTTGTGGTGGGCGTGATTAACTAGATCGTGTACCGCGCGCTGAAAACTGCAGCGAGGACAATGAAAGTGTAGACCTGGCCGTGGCATCTGGCTGCAGCTTGACGAAGACAATGGCTGGTGCACACGCGATGCTCTGGCTGCTGTTGCTGGTGGCAGGTGGTGCCGCACTCGCCACCCCCGACGACGCCCTGGACTTCCAAAAAAATCGTGAGTACCGACATTCAACAATGAGATATGACTAAAAAACGGTTTCGATAATTTATTTTGGAGCAAGATAACGTCAAACAAGCATGAAATAGGGAGTTTTAAATCAGTTTCGGGTCTCTAAGAAAGATAAAACTCTGAATAGAGTAGAGCTCGCTTAAAAAGCTAAATAATTCAATTTAATTCATACGAAATTAGGGCTTTTTCTAAAATCTAATTGTATTATTTTCAAATCAAAATGGTTAATTTTAAGCAAACTGATAATTTATCAATGTTTTCTAATTCAGTCGCATATGTAGTTGCAAATATGTAGCTAACAAAGTGATCAAACATACTTTTTTCCTTTAATTAACTGGAATTCAATTACCGCGATGTATTACACCATTGTTATAAATTAAAAGTTTTAAAAACACATCGCTTTAATCTTCAAATTTAAAGTAAATGATTTTAAGAATTTTATAGTATGGGAAAAGTTCCGAAAAAAATACTACCTAAATTGCTCTCCTAATTAAATTTCCACACCTTTTTTTTTTTTTAATATTAGAAAAATAAAATTAAAAAATAAATGTAATAGAGAAAAACTAAAAAGGGTTTAGTACCAAATTAGAACAATATCCAGCCCAAGCAAAGACTACTTGCCGTAAGTCAAATTTGCTTCAAGCGCCTGAATTTGCACATTATATTTGAACTCGACGACGGGTCGCGACCGGCATCTGGGTGCGAATTGATAGCGCGCCGTCTCTCGCGAATCAATAGAGCGCCCTTTCGCCTCCGCCTGTTTTGCGAGCTCTACAATTGGGAGAAAAATCGCTGCTTCGTTCGCAGCGTGCGGGTGGTTCGGCGCTTATTCTCGTTAGGCGCGCGATCGTTTCCACGGCTATGATTTTACACCAGGTTAATCCAATTTAACGCTTCCGCCGGTTAAACACTCCGACGTGTTACGTCCGTGGATTAAAAACGCCGAATTAAAACATCCAGGGGTTTTCAGCCGATTTAACAAAAGATATCCTCAAGTGGAAAAACAAATTATGATATTATGGCTCCATCGTACCTTGAAATATGTACATTTCGCAATTTTATCACAAAATTAATTACTTCATTTTTTTCAATTCTATTGAGAATTTAACAGGAAAGTATGTTACAAACGTTCTATTATTGACATCCATACAAAAATCATTTTGAATTTTCAACAAAGAAAAGATTTTCTTCCAAACTAGTGCAGAAAAGGAAATAAAATTTCTAGCTTTGAGAACATTTAAATTGTATAAAATTTCCTGGCCGATTTCTTAATGGCTTCCAGATTTTTCAAGGCTAAAATTTTTCTCTGTCAACGTAATATTTAAAAAAATTAATGATAGACTTTTCTCAGAAGTCGTTTGCTTTGAACATTGATAGCTATTACAGATGGATCTGGTCCGTTGTGTTTGCCTTTGAGCTCAAGAAAACTCGTGGGTTCCTTAGGGTTTTAGTGCTATAAATATACATATTTTTAATTCATATAGCCCTGATTTGTTATGAAACTAAGTAATTATGCGAGTGAATTCTTCTACCTCCATAAATCTACCTGTAATTGTATAAATTTGCTTTGAAATGGCCAATGTGGAATACTAAAAAACTCTAAACAAAGAACTTTTTGCTGCCTGTGTTTCAAAATTATTTATTCAATGGTCACAGAACAATCAAAACAAAATTAAAAATATTTTTTGCAACTTGATTCGCTAATTGAATTTAAAATTATTTTCCTGTTTTTATTTTGCGCTCAAATTTTGACGACTCTCATTAGTTAAAATTGACGCAAGTTATTTTGACACAAATTAATTTCCATGTTGGTATTTACAATATTATATAGGTTATTCACGGCGATAATTAGCTGTGATTAATGGGACAAAATTTGTAATATTTTATTAAAATTACCTCCAAATTACTAAACGAGCTATCATATTTCACCAATATTATTTGACAAAACAAAATTATAAAAAAAATATGCTAGATTTTCATTTTAATTTATGTTGGAACTTAAAAAGAATATTTTGTTGAAATTTAATTTCAATGAAGAAGACACCTTTTCCACCTTAGTTGAATCCAGTCAATATTTCTTGCCAAAACTCAAGAATGGAGTCGCCATTGTTGTTGTAAACCTGCTGGTTTAATATGATTTTAAAATAATCATTCATATTACTTCATTAAAGTGTAAAAAAAAAACAATTGTATAGTTTGTTGGCGTGAACAACACATGTGGAGCACAAAAAGGGATATTCATTTGAAATGACCACGAATATCAATATCGCGTGCTTTGTTTGCTCGGCGAAAATAGATCAGCGATAGCATCTAATCGTATGCAAATGGATCAACCCTTTCCCTCCTATTATCATTAGCCGCTGAGAAGTTATTTATCGCCGGCAGCAGCACACAACACGCTGACAAATAAAAATGGCCATTAACTCTCCCACCGCGATTTAGCGCCCTCGGGGCCAAGTAATTGCTTTCCTCCTCGAAATCAGCTCTCGTACGAGCGCACAAAACTTGTGAATAATAAATAAATCGAGAGCTGTGGTGGCTCGGCTCAAGAAATTATTGCCGCATCTGCAAATGCGCTCATTAAAAGTTAAACGCGTTCGCGAGAGGCCGCCGCCGCCACTTCGGAGGGTTATTTCGCCGTGTTTGTTGTTTGGTCGGCGTTTGTGGCGGGCAATGAAACCTGGCGAGCAAATTCTCTCTCTAGCTCGCATGTTATACTTGATAGCACCCATATATGTGCAACGCCAGAACCTTCTTTGCTCAGGCCGTGAAACTTTTGATTGTGGCTCGTTTTTCTTTCTCTTTGAAAAAGCAATACGTTTGTTTTCAACCGTAAATAAATGTATGAAGTGGAAAGTTGAATTGCAATCGAAGAAAAACCTGCTCTCGCAGATAACTAAATATATTATGTCATGTAATATCGATTGCAAAAGAAATGGATTAGTTTAGATGTGCAACAAGATATTTCTATAATTAAGAATTATTGATGAATGATGAAACGTTGCTCTCCAAACTCGGAATTAAACCGTGAACAGAATCGAATCAAATTTCATTAAATTCCAATGATTGCAATAATTTCATAAAATTCTCCAAAGACATCATAGAAGAACTACTTGGAAATTAAACTGAATTAATGGTTATTTTGTGAGTAATCTACAAAGATGAACAGATACATTATAGTAAGCTGCAGGTAAGCTGCAGCTTAAAAAAAACATGGAACGTTTCTAAAGCCTTCCTATGAAAATCTGGGCGTCTCAAAAACAGCATCAAATTCTTAAATAAAATCAGCTTGAATTTCTCCGCGCCAATCTTTCAAATCTTTCAAGTACACCGAAAGTTTTAAATATAAAAAATCTGAAACATAAAATTTAAATAATTAAAATTTATTTTAATTTCATTTAATAACGAAGACAAAATATTATTTAAAAATTAATCAAATTACATTTATGTAAAAAAATATTTTTTTCAAATTTCATTATATAAATTAAATGTGCATATAAATTTTATAACATTAGCACAGTTACTTTGAGTTACCTTTAATCCATAGTTTATGTTGCGAAAATTTTTAATTTAATTTAATCCCATATATCGTTACATAGGGATTTGTCATGAAATTAATATTTTTTAAATAATTAAAATCAGAATCAAACAACTTTTCTTTAATTTCTTGAATGTGGGGGTTTTACTCGGCACTTCCCTCCTCGTATTCCGACATGAATTAAAAATGAAAGTCATAATTTTTGGCTGGCTTTACAGTCAAATAAATACTGATGTCCAATGAAAATAATTGTCCATAATCCAACCTTGAGCTTATTGAAACACATTAATTCTTTACATAGAAAGCCTCTTAAGATAATGAGACAATAAATATGAGACTGTTGAACCTAGCAATGTTGAAAACCAAACTACATAGGGTCTCATTCAAAAGTTGTATGCAACATTTTTGCCAATTTGTTCCACGCGAATCAGCAAAATTGCAGAATAAGAACAAGAAAATGACCAAAAATCGCAGAATTTTTCGCCACTTAACAGCTTTTTTTCTAATCGGGAAGCACAAAGAGTTGCCAGACTTGGCAAAATTGCGAGCCCCTATCAAAGTTGGCTGCAATCCAGGCGCCAGTGAAGGGTGCGGGGGTGTAGGAAAAGGGGTACACATGCATATTTGTACGTAAACCAGAGCAATAACGGTAATAGCCACGGCGTATCTGCGCGCAATAATGCGTTCCTCCGCTCTCTCGGCGGATCAAAGTCGTTGGCCGTGTTTGCAATAAAACGCGCTGGTTATTAACAGAAAGGGGTCTCTGAAGGGCTTCTCTCCAGCGACTGCAAACTTGGCTCAATTTACTGCTGGCGCGCACTCACACCACCGAGAAGATGAGGTTCGATTTCAGCTCGCAGTTATAACACGCCCTTGCGACTTTTACGTTTGAAGACAGATTCACATATATATTGTTAGAGAGAGACACACAGTGAACGTGATAGCGTGGACAAAAGAAAGAAAATATGGAAGTTATTAAATTTCTCTGTCAAGTGAACCTTGAGCTGAGTGAGGCGGAAATTTCTGAACACTCATATCCTGAAGATAGACCCTTGTGAAAAAATCTAAAAAAGGTTTGAACTAGTTGCAGAAAATATTGTTTTTTAGATAAGGTAAAAAATTAAAATATTTTTAGTGTAACAACATATTTTGAATGCAGCAGAAATCCATGGAAATTCTGTAGCAAATTATAAAATATCAAAAGGATTTTTTTTTAATAATTTATTCTTCGAAACTTTCATGTAGCGTCAGAAATGAATAAGATCGCGTGCATTAGTTTTGTTTGTTTCCGTCCGCACCCTCACCAAAAGAATATTTACGACTTTCATAATAGAAAAAAGTAGCTCAATTTTTCACTATGCAGATGTTGTAAATTTTGGGGATCATTTTTTATCCATTCAAAAAAGCACCTAACTCGATTTTCACTCAGTAATAAAACTCCCGGGGC